AGGGATTGTAAAAAGGTTTTCTAAATTTTGTATGTGTATCAGGGACACTGATAGCATCAATTTACATCATTCTAATTTTCAATCAGACATCTGTGGTTCTTGTTAAAGAGATTGTAAAGAGGTTTTAAATATTTTATGTATATCAGAGACACTGATAGCATCAATTTACACCATTCTAATTTTCAATCAGACGTCTGTGGTTCCTGGAATTCTACTAAAACTAAGTGTTTGATGACGTTACTAAATCGTAAAGGGCCTATGAAGTAGCCTAGGCTTTAAAAGGGTACTGAATAATTTAAAATAACTTTGTGTTAATAAATAGCAACATGTATTCAGTAAGTTTATTTATATTTAATATATTTTACAGGTAGATTAGTTGTGACCAATTTAAGATTAATTTGGCACTCTCTAGCTCTACCTAGAGTTAACCTATGTAAGTACTGTTCTCTCTTTGTGGTTTTTCTTTTACATGGAAAAGCAGCCTGTAGCCAGGAATAAATTGGTGCTGGGGCTCAGATTTTGTACTCAGAAAATTTGAAGCATTAAAGGCCCAGAGAACTCATTTCTGACAATTTTGAGGTGCCAAAAACATATCAAAATATCTTTTTGATTTTATACACTGCATGGTGTTGCCCTATTTTCATTATCAAATTCACACACAGACAAGCAGGGTATTAAATTCCATTTCATCTCACCAACCAAAATGAAGATAGCTTGCCAGGCAAGGTAATATACACCCACTGAAATTGAATATTTGTTAGAAAATAGCAAACAGACACCAGGAAATATTCAACTTATACCCAAATCCATCACAAACTGTGCCATCACAAGTTAAAAATCAAACACATTTGTAAGAATAACGGCGATAACTTGTATTTTATATTTCAAAAGGTTTAGTTTTGATTGTCATCAATTTCATCAAGTTGTCAAATTTGTTTTAAACTTCTGCTTTGTAGAATAAAATTTTTCGATTTCCATGATTTTTCTATAGGGTTTATCCTTGGGTGAATACGAACACTCATACCAAGTTTCGTCAAAATCTGTCAAGAATTCTGCCTTCTAGTGTGTTTACAACCTAAAAAATGAACGGTTTGCAGGCTAGGGCAATAATTCATACTAAATATTTTTCCTATAGTAGCCTATTTATCCAGCAACTCAATTCAATCTTTCAAGAAACAAAACCTTTCCCCTATGACCCATGTTTAATTTCATTTTTGTATCATTACAATTGGTGAAAATGAAATGATTAAGCAAACCTTTTCTCTTGAATGACATTTATAAAATGAAATCAGATAAACTGCTGCATCTTGGGATGTCACATGACTAAGTTATGATTGGATATCTGTCTTGGATTTTCCACTTGGTCTATTTATAGTATCTTATGATGCTGTACATGTATGGTGGCTGGTTAGGGACATGTTAAATGATTAAATTAAATTTTCTTATTTGTTAACCAAAATAGTTTCTCAGGAAAATAATGACATCTATTGTAAATTGTGATTATGAACAAAAAAATTGTGACTTGTAGAGTCTGTCAAGAATTGTGCCTTCTAGAGTGTTTACGAGCTAAAAATTGAACGCGTTTGCAAGAACAAGGGCAATAATTCATACTAAATATTTTTCGATTTCGCTGATTTTCAATAGGGTTTATCCTTGGGTGATTACAAACACTCATACCAAGTTTCGTCAAAATCTGTCAAGAATTGTGCCTTCTAGAGTGTTTACGAGCTAAAATTAACAAGGGCAATAGTTCATGCTAAATATTTTTCGATTTCGCTGATTTTCAATAGGGTTCATCCTTGGGTGATTGCGAACACACATACTAAGTTTCGTTAAAATCCATCAAGAATTGTGCCCTGTAGAGTGTTTACGAGCAATTGTGGACGGACGGACGGACTGAGTTAAATCATCTTTATTTTTTTTTTTTTTCAGCTATTGGTTTTAATTGTGTTATTAATATTTCTACAAAAACAGCAAATTCAGTAAGTAGCCATTATAATATAAATTTTTAATCAAGAAAGAAAGAACCATTTTTATAAGAGTAACAACTTAGGTTCCTTTCTACCAACTGGTGCTTGGTCAAACCTCTTGGTATTGATTTTACAAGGATAATAACTTAGGTTCACAAGGATCCTTTCTACCAACTGGTGCTTGGTCAAACCTCTTGGTAATGATTTTACAAGGATAACAACTTAGGTTCACAAGGATCCTTTCTACCAACTGGTGCTTGGTCAAACCTCTTGGTAATGATTTTACAAGGATAACAACTTAGGTTCACAAGGATCCTTTCTACCAACTGGTGCTTGGTCAAACCTCTTGGTAATGATTTTACAAGGATAACAACTTAGGTTCACAAGGATCCTTTCTACCAACTGGTGCTTGGTCAAACCTCTTGGTAATGATTTTACAAGGATAACAACTTAGGTTCCTTTCTACCAACTGGTGCTTGGTCAAACCTCTTGGTAATGATTTTACAAGGATAACAACTTAGGTTCATAGTTAAGAATCCTTTCTACCAGCTGATCCTTGGTCAAACCTCTTGGTAATGATTTTACAAGGATAACAACTTAGGTTCATAGTTAAGAATCCTTTCTACCAGCTGATCCTTGGTCAAACCTCTTGGTAATGATTTTACAAGGATAACAACTTAGGTTCATAGTTAAGAATCCTTTCTACCAGCTGATCCTTGGTCAAATCTCTTGGTATTGATTTTACAAGAATAACAACTTAGGTTTACAAGGATCCTTTCTACCAGCTGATCCTTGATCAAACCTCTTGGTAATGATTTTACAAGAATAACAACTTAGGTTTACAAGGATCCTTTCTACCAGCTGATCCTTGACCAAACCTCTTGATATTGATCTTTCCTGGATTATCTGTACCCATTTACAGCTGGGTAAACTGGAATTATGAGGAAAGATGACCACGTCGACTGAGAACTCATAGCCACAATTTATTCAACATTACCAAGGAAGTGACATCATGTAATATTCCAACACTCTAACCAACTGTGCTACAACCTGTCACTAGTATATCCATAACTAGAGTTATGTCCCTTCCTATTAGTATTTAGTATTAATCACCATATATTAATTTATTATTTTAGAAATTACGTGGAACCTCAGAAGCTCTGTATGTTTTAACTAAATGCAACAGTACGAGATTCGAATTTATTTTTACCAATTTGGTAAGTGACACACATGGCCTAATATTTATAATTTTTTCATCAAAAATTTTTTTTTTCCAAACTTACAAGAAGTGGAGTCGACAAACCCAGGCGTGGGG